GTCTGTTTATGTGGGTAGAGTAACCTAGGGAGCTACTAAATAGCAGAGCTGGAATGTGCACTTAGGGCTGTCTGCTTTGAGTCTTTCCCCTTAATCACTAATTTCTATCACCTATGGAAACATCATGTAACTTATGTTGTAGGCATTTGTATGCCATGCATGGAAAACAGCCATAAGGGCAAACAGCTGGAGTCATCTCTGAGCTATGGCATTATGAGTAATGTTCATTGTTTTCTTTTCCTTTTCCTTGTTTTACTAATGTTCTACACCAAACATATTCCTTGTGATGAGGAGCAAATAATTATACACAGCAAACTCATTACAGTGGTTGCCTCTGAAGACAGAGTGGCAGAAATAGGACTCAAGGTAAGAGTTGAAGAGGACTCTCATTATTTCTTAAAAATAAAAGGTAAATCCCGACCATCCTGGCTAACACGGTGAAACCCAGTCTCTACTAAAAATACAAAAAAAAATTAGCCGCGCTTACTGGCAGGGGCCTGTAGTCCCAGCTACTGGGAGGCTGAGGCAGGAGAATGGCGTGAACCTGGGAGCCGGAGCTTGCGGTGAGCCCAGATAGCGCCACTGCACTCCAGCCTGGGCAACAGAGTGAGACTCCGTCTCAAAATAAATAAATATATAAAATAAAATAAAAGCAAATCCCTTATAATGCCAAAAGGTGTTACCTCTAACCTATGGACTGAGCAAAAGTTAGGGGACATAAGTAAAAAACAGGATTTTGGATGTCATCCATTTATATTATTTAATTAAAAAAAAATAACGTAAAGATAATCTAAGTGCTAACTATTAACACAGTGAATGATTTTAGTACCGGTTTGGAAACATCACATTATTAAAAAAAAAAAAATTATCTCAGTGCCTGTGTGTTGCTGATAGGCTTTACAAACATTTTTTCTGCCTAATGGGTTACTTGATTATGACAAAATTGCTTCCTCTACACATGTTCCAGCTATAAGAGGGTAGCTTTCTATGTGAGAATATATCTTTATCGGGTTTCCCAACAGCTAAAGTATATGGTGTGTAATTAAAAGGCAACATGAAATAACTGTATTACAATATCTCTTTAGGAGTAAAATCTTAAAGTTGTCCAAAACCTTTCAAAAACTTTATGTAAGAAAGTGCTATGTATGAAAGTCACCTAGATATTCTGTGATCTACTCCAGAATTAAATCTGCCTTATATTGACTCCAAGAGAAGTGTCTATAGTCACTTGCCCTTCAGCATGAAGTAATAGGTTATATCGAGGGATGTTATAGGAAGCAGCTCAGCACTGCCAGTATTGTAAGGATATTTTTGAGGGTGTTTATTATTATAAGCCATATACAGACCTAGAGGAGAAGTTCTACTCTGACTTTTTACTAGAATATTTCCTGAACAACAGTTTTATTTTTCACCTTATGAACACTATGAATTCTGTACTTGGTTGTGCATTCTTTTCTTGTCTGGCTGTTAAAAAAAAAATTTAGGGTCGAATATATGGCCTAAAAAAAGAATTAGAAGAATATCTGCATGACAATAACACTGGCAAAAATATCTTAAACAGGACACAGAGAGCACCAGACTAAAAAGAAAAGATTGATAAATTGGACCTCATTAAAATTAAACTTTCTGTTCATCAGAAGATAATATTACAATAATGGAAAGACAAGCCATAATTGGAAGAAGATATTTCTAAGATACACATCTAACAAGCAACCCAAGTTAAACTGAACCAAAGACTCAAAAAAATTTCACAAAAGAAAATATCAAAATGGCTACTAAATATGTGAAGGCATACTCATTAGTTATCAGAGAAATGTGAATTAAAAGCACAATAAGATACCACGACCCACCCATGAAAATGGCTAACATTAAGATTGGAAACACAAAGTCATGATGAAGATATGGGCAATGGGAACTCTTTTATATTGCTGATCAAAGTATAAATCAGTATAACAACTTCAGAAAATTACTTGACAGGACCTACTAAACTAAAATATTATGCAACAATTCCACTCCTGGGAATATATCCAACAAAAACAAGTGGTTTTATTCACATGTCCGTGTACAAAAATATTCATAATAGCTTGATTTGTAATAGGCCAAAACTTGGAACAACCAAATGATCAACAGTAGTAGAATGTATAAATTAATTGTCATATGTTCATATAACAAAATTCTAAACAAAAGTGAGAGAAAAGTGAATCTCAAAGACATTCTGTTGAGCAAAAGCAATCAGACACAAACTGTATAATGCCATTTATATGAAGTTCAAAAATAAGCAAAACTAACACATGACAAGTCAGAATAGTGGTTACCTTTAGAGGAAAAATAAAGATGACATCAGGCTGATGAGAATGTTTTATAATTTGATCGGGGTGGTTATACACACATCTATGTGAGAAAAGTCATTGAACTGTACATTTAAGATTTGTGCACTTATGTAACCTATGCTGCTTTATATTAAAAAAAGAAATAATGCATGGTTTGTCTCTTTGGGCATTTATATGGCTACATGACATGTGTTTGATATAATGATCTAATATTCTAGCTCCATTAGGCCTTATTTTCCTTTTCATCTTCTCTCTTACTTATTTTTAATTATTTTATCTTGCTATTATTTGCATAATAGCATCCTCCCGAGCCATCTCAAGTCCTAGTTAGAACAGTTTATAAGTAAGTACAAATATATCTGAATAAAACTTCAGGTGTTTCTAAATTGGACATCAGAAGACTTTGAATCACGAGACTCAGAGTTTCTTTTTCATTCTGACTACACTTACTAAGAGTACAATTTATGGAGAAATTACTTAAGATAATATCTACTTGACATGATTGTTAAAGGAATTGAAAGAGCATAGCTAAAAGTATTTTTCAAATTGGACAGTGACATAAAAATTACATTTAAAAACAGCTAATATTAATCTAGGAACACAATCTCCAATTAAACAATCAAACTTTAAAAAATTACATTTTTCAGAGGAAAAAAAACTGTTTCAAGTCTATAATTTCTGTCTTTCCTAAGATTATTTGTAATTGTTTTAAAACATACTTGGTACCCATGTTCAAATTCTGTCCAAGTAAACACCAACATGAGTTTATATGCTTGAGAAATGTCTGTTTATATGCTTGAGAAAGGATTAACTTGTGTGAAGCTATCAAAGGAGAGGATCTGTTTGCCCATCAAAAATTATTCCAGTCATGCAAAATATTTTGTTATTGAGACATAAATCTATAATATACTAAGAATCAAGTTAAGTTTGTAAATTAAATTCAGTAAAATAGAATTTAAGTTAGCTACTGTTTAGATTGGAAAATTAAAGAGAGAGTAATGACTTGAGCTCAGAGTTTGAGGTTCCAGTGAGCTATAATCACGCCACTGTATTCCAGCCATGCAACAGAGTGAGACTCTGTATCAAACGAAAAAAGAGAAAGAGTGAGATAAATGTTAAGAGGTGTTTTCATCTCTCCTTGTGCAGATAAGAAGTTTGTGGAAACACAATAGGTGCTATCAGACCTTCCCAAAGGAGTTTCTGAATACAAATGTTCTGACTTTTATGTATAAGGATATCAGCTATGCCAGGTGATTCTCTCAAGTTTCCTTCTAATTTAACACATTCCTCAACACATTCCAAGTAGCTTCTCACCTGAGATATCCAATTGAGATTATTCTTATCAAGATAACGTGGGATTCTCTTGTTGCTAGATCCAACAAACATGTTGTAGTTTTAACTCATCTCACCACTGAATATTAGACTCTCTCTTCTTTCCCCCTACTCCCCGAAACAGAGTCTTGCTCTGTTGCCCAGGCTGGAGTGCAATAGCACAATCTTGGCCTCCACCTCCCGTGTTCAAGCAATTCTCCTGCCTCAGCCTCACAAGTAGCTGGGACTACAGGCACGCGCCATCATGCCTGGCTAACTTTTTGTATTTTTAGTAGAGATGGAGTTTCACTGTGTTGACCAGGCTGGTCTCGAACTCCTGACCTCGTGATCTGCCCACCTCGGCCCCCAAAAGTGCTGGGATTAGAGGTGTGAGCCACTGTGCCCAGCCTACATTCTCTTCTTAAAAAGCTTCCTTTCCTTCATTTCTGTGACGTCACCCTCTCTTGGTTTTCCTCCTATCTTTAGAAGCTACTTCTTAGTGTCTTTTGTGAACTCTACTTATACCCATCTTTTAAAATTTGGTGGTGCTTAGATTCTCCTCTGTGTCACCTTTATCTGTCTCCCTACGCAATACCATTCAGTCATCTGAATGCAAACACCATTTGATAATGACTATCAAACCTCTAACTTCAGCCATGATCTCACTCCTGAGCTCAAAATTTATGTAACTCTCTATTGGACATCCCCATGCAGGTTTCCTGTAGAGGCTTCAAAATCAGTTTTATGTAGAGTTTATCATCTCTCTCCCTAACCTGTCCCTGTGTGACTGATTTCAGTGAGCACTTTATCACCCATAAAGCTGCTAACACTGAGAATTCTCTGTCAACAATTTCTTTGACGCCACAAGAAGTCCTGTCAAATTTGTTAACTAGCTCTGCAATTCATTCATTCTATCTTACTTCTTTCAGCTACATAATTCTTGTCTACAATCAATTCTACTCAAAACAAAAAAACCTGATTATTATTCCTTGCTTAATATCCTTTATCACTGCTAAAGACTTACATTCCATAATGACCATTAATGACTGCCATCATGGTTCTTGAAGAGTTATTTTTCAGAAAACTTTTTCTTATCAGTATAACATTTTTTTATAACACATTAAATAAATACACTATAAACAATAATATTTAGACATTAAAGTTTCAGGCAAAGACTTGACAGAGAAAGAAAAATTTGATGTGAAAGCAGTATTTGAATGACATCTTGTTTCTCACTTATAGAAATTTGTTTTCATTGTTCAAGTGATAAATAGTTTTTCTTATGCAAAAATTGTTTGTATATATTGATTTGAGGTGGAACACATAATAACATTTTTCATTAGAAATAATGGAAGTGGGCAGACCCGGAGCAGCATGTGGACTCTCAGGTGCCACGCAGTTGCCGGCCTCCTGTCGTCCCCCAGCCTGGCCCAGGCCCAGACCCTCACCTGGGCCCCGCGGCCAGCAGAGTTGACCCCGCTCTGAGGTCTCCGGGGCCTGCACACTGGCATGGATGCAACCTGCACACCCCACCACGCCAGTTCGAACCTCCATGGCCTCAACCAGATTCAGAATGTCAAAAAGCAGAGTGTCTATTTGATGAATTTGAGGAAATCGGGAACTTTGGGTCACTCAGGCTCTCTAGATGACACCATCTATGAAAGACTAGCAGAGGAAACGCTGGACTCTTTAGCAGAGTTTTTTGAAGACCTTGCAGACAAGCCATACACCTTTGAGGACTATGATGTTTCCTTTGGGAGTGGTGTCTTAACAGTTAAACTGGGTGGAGATCTAGGAACCTACGTGATCAACAAGCAGACGCCAAACAAGCAAATCTGGTTATCTTCTCTATCCAGATATTATATGGAGTTGCTGGAGTACGAGAAGAGCTTCTTCATCCCAGCAGCTTTCAAAGTGAAGCAGCAGCTCATGCCTGTAATCCCAGCACTTTGGTAGGCTGAGGTGGGTGGTTCACTTGAGGTCAGGAGTTTGAGACCAGCCTGGCCAACATAGTGAAACCTCGTCTCTACTAAAAATACAAAAATTAGCTGGGCATGGTGGTGCACACCTGTAATCCCAGCTACTCAGGAAGCTGAGGCAGGAGAATCACTTGAACCCGTAAGGTGGAGGTTGGAGTGAGCCAAGATCGTGCCACTGCACTCCAGCAAGACTCTGCCTCAAAAAAAAAAAAAAAAAAAAAAAGGTGAACCTCTGGGTCCCCCAGATCTTTTCAGAGATATGTAATGTTCTCCTTTTTCCAACTACATAAGTCTGTGAGCCTGGATTTTCTTTATATACTCCAATGAGAACAACATATTGCAACAGATAGAATGAAGAGACAAGTAGAAGAATCCAGCTGTTTTCTATTAAGCCAAACATTACAGTTGTCAACTGAAGAATTCTGAGATTAATAAATTTGCAAAGAAGAGCTTTATTTCCCCTAAAAGATTGCAGCCTGCAGGGTGGTCATTCTGACAGGCTGAGAAATGTAGTCTCTGGCCAGAAGCCAAAAACAGACACTGAGGGTCAGAAGAATAAGACGGGCATTTATGTTGAATAGGATGGCCAAATATATGTATTCAATAAACTATAGGAGGAATCATGAATAGTCATGAAAGGAGAAACATGCACATGCTCAGTTGAGCTTCATGCCTCTCCATGGGATGCATGTGCAAAAATTGGCAGCATTAGCATGATCAGAGGGTGGAGTTTTCTGTCCTCTGACATCAAAAGGTGAAACAGAGGACACAGAAACCCTCACTGCACATCCTCTGTAAACTGGCCAGAACCATTCCATTGTGGGCAGTCTATTATCAGGAAGGAATGCTGGTTAGTTGTGCAGAAACTGCAAAAGGAAGGGGCAGTGTCAGACCATTGGTTGATATCAGCGGTGCAGCTCGTCCTTCCAAAGGGCTGATTTCTGTTTAACCTGTAGGAAGGAAATCCTAATGGTGTTTAGCAATGGAGAGAGTATAACAACACATCATGGCAGGAACTTAGTTTTCAAGGTTTCTCTGGGGTACCCTTGGCCAAGAGGTGGTGCATCCATTTAGTCAGCTGGGTGACTTAGGATTTCATTTTTATTTCTCCGAGTTTTATAAAACTCTAAAATAATTCTTTGACAGCCAGATGGGAGGGGGTCCCTGGAGAAACTCCAACCAGCCTGCCCACTGGGGTGGAGCCTCGGGAGTTTGCAGCAAGGAAGAGCCTGGCGCCTCCTTTTCCTTTGTGAACCTGGGATTCGAGCAGCCTGGTGGGAAGCACTCTAGCAGGGGACTCTGGCCTTGCAGAGGATCCCTGTTCCCCCGAACCCTTTATTTCCCTTTTTCACTTAATAAAACCCTGCTTTACTCACCCTTTAAACCATCTGCAAGCCTAAATTTTTGTGGCTGTGGGATGGACAAGAGCCTTATCTTTAGCTGAACTAAGGAAAAGTCCTGCAATGATTCCATTCTTCCCACCAAATATGTTTTGTTTCGAAAATATAGTTATCATAAATATGTCATTAATATTGTTAAATCAAATTTAGCCTAAAGCTGCCTCCTTACATAGTTTAAACTTGACTTAAAGGTTATTCTGTACTTAGTGAATTGTAACCTACCTACATGTGTAAACAAGACTGTGACCTACTCTTGTGACAATCATTGGATTTTGGCCAATCCAATGGCCAAATCAAAGGAGGTCAACTCTTGACACTGCTTTCAAATAAGGCAAATATGGAGCTGTAACCAATCTGGCTATTTCTATACCTCACTTCTGTTTTCTATATGCCACTTTTCTTTCTCTGTCCACAAATCTTCTTCCAGCACATGACTGTGCTGGAGTCTCTGAGTCCTCTGGCTGAGGAGGCTGCCCAATTCTCAAACTGTTCAATTAAACTCTGTTAAATTAAAAAAAAAAAAAAAAAAGAAGAAAGAAAGAAAAAAGAAATAATGGAAGTTTTTGGCCAGGCTCAGTGGCTCAACCCTGTAATCCCAGCATTTTGGGAGGCCGAGGTGGGCGGATTACCTGAGGTCAGGAGTTCCAGACCAGCCTGACCAACATGGAGGAACACTGTTTCTACTAAAAATACAAAATTAGCTGGGCGTGGTGGTGTGTGCCTGTAATCCCAGCCACTCAGGAGGCTGAGGCAGGATAATTGCTTGAACCCAGGAGGTGGAGGTTGTGATGAGCTGAGATGCTGAGATTGTGCCATTGCTCTCCAGCCTGGGCAACAAGAGCAAAAGTCTGTCTCAAAAAAAAAAAAAAAAAAAGAAAAAATCTCCTGAAGCTGATAAGCAACTTCAGCAAAGCCTCAGGATAAAAAATCAATGTGCAAAAAAAAAAAAAAAAAAGGCCGGGCGAGGGTCCCTGTAATCCCAGCACTTTGGGAGGCCGAGACGGGTGGATCACGAGGTCAGGAGATTGAGATCATCCTGGCGAACACGGTGAAACCCCGTCTCTACTAAAAAAAATACAAAAACTAGCCGGGCCGAGGTGGCGAAGTGCGCCTGTAGCCCCAGCTACTCGGGAGGCTGAGGTAGGAGAATGGCGTAACCCGGGAGGCGGAGCTTGCAGTGAGCTGAGATCCAGCCACTGCACTCCAGCCTGGGCGACAGAGCGAGACTCCGTCTCAAAAGAAAAAATGAAGGAAGGGAGGAAGGGAGGGAGGGAGGGAAATAATGAAAGGTTTCTCTTAATAAATGACTTTTCACTTAGCAGGATAAATCCTTGGCAGGATTTATAAGAACAAATGAAAGTCATTGAGAGTAAATTGTATTCTCATTGCTTTCAGGATAAATTCTAAGCTTCTTAACATCACTGGAAAGATATACGGCCTGACTTCCGCTTCGTCTGACACCAATCCCCATTTCACATTTTACCTTCCAGTCATGTGGAGCTACAGAAATCTTGCACCAACTCAGGAGCTGTGTTTCTTAAAAACACAGGGGTTGGCAGAACTAAGGTTGGCATGATTGAGTTCTCACATATGATAGAGTGTTCAGGGAAAACATTAAATATATATGAAATCTGTATACCACTGCAAAGAGGTATTTTAGAAAGCATCTACTTCCAGAACAAACTGGATCAACAAGTGACTATTCTTCTGAATCCTCTTCTCGAACTCTTCCTGAAAAATTATGGTGCTATTATGAGCTAGCAAAGCAGAATATTTTAAATATTTTGTTATACCAACTACTTTCATTTAAAGTTTACACATCAGCCCTTATTAGTTTTAAATTGAAATGGGTTACTCATAAATATTGATTTTATGGATCGGTGTCATTCACCCTGTATTTTGCTGATTAAAAAACTCTTCCTAGCCTCAATGTTGTTGTTTTTTTTAAATTTTACCAATATTAGCCTTAATGTATTTGAATGGGTATAGTAGCTAAAACCTTTCTCAAAGGATCCTCTTAAATGAAATGTTAGTTGGACTGTAATGAGAACATCTCTCTGGCTGCTTTGCAAAAAATGGATGCTAGCATACAAAAGCGGAAACAGACTACTGTGGAAGTTGTTAGAATACTCCAACGTAGTAGCTTGCCAGGGATGGTGGCAAGGAGATGGAGAGATATAGAATACAAAGGTTTTAGAATAAGCAACAAAAACGGGGAAGACTAGAAAAGGAAAGGTCAGGGTGAGGGAGGTAAGGAATCAAAAGATCTGTCTTGGGCATACACACATTATTTGCTACTAAACACGCAAGTGGAGATTTTTAAGCAGTCAGTTGAAAATTTGGAGCAGAATATGTAAATTGGGAAGTCATTTCTATATAGCCACAAAACTAGATCCCAAGGGAAAGAGTGCAGATAGCCCAAAATGATTTCATATTCAAACCATCAAAGGAATTAAAATGAATAGAAATGAACTCAATGGTGGATCAAATATCAAAAGAAGATGGCATAAAACAGGACTCTATTCCAGACTTCCTCTTCCCCAACTTACTCATGAAGGATTTGCACACTACTTCAAGTCTTTTTTAGAATGAAGTGGGCATTAAATAAATAACAAATAATTTCTTACAGAACGTGTGCCTTCTTACCATGTCAAACAGGAAGTTAAACATTCTTCTCTCTACTGATCACATATCAGTGTGGCTTTCTGGAAGTGCCCTTAAATAGCATGTTGACCTGAGCTTATTACCAAGCTCAAGACCATTTCACCAGAACCAAAAGTGTTTGGCAAGTGTGTGACATGCAGAGGGATAATTATAAATAAATCCATTTCACAGGAAACCCATTTACTTGTAGTTCAGTATATTGTGCAGCTGACCCAAGTTTTAGAACTATAGAAATGTTGTTCTCCTCAAAAAAATATTCTAGAAGAACTATATCAAAAGCAGTTAAATAGCAGAAGCTAACTCCTGCCTTTACATCCTCTTTAGAAGCCACACATCTCTTGATACTCTGGGGACAGAGCTCTTATTCAGGATTTGCAACGCAATCTCTTGGGAATTTTATTTTTAAAATATTCACACCCAAGCCTCACTCTTGGGGATTCAAATTTGGGAGGTATGTGAAAAGAGTATTCTGAAGAAATTCTTCATGTAATTTTGTTGCTGATTCCTGGTTAAGAATTTCTGCTCAACAGTAAGGACCTCTGAGGTTTTAAGGGAGTAAGCATTTGAGATCCAGAAAGGATTTGGAGAAGCTTCTTTGCCTTGCTTGTGCCACTTGACTGGCTGTAATCCACCTGTGAATGTCACCGTTTAATTTGAATAATAACTCAAGCCAGGTTCTTTAATTTTTATAACAAAATAGATAAATATATCAAATATGTGTCTAGCATTTTATCGAAAGCAGATGGATCTCCTCTAGCTCACAATAACAATAACGATAATGATATTTTAGGCAAATATGATGACTGTCATATTCATTGCTCTCTCGATTTATTCAAAATCTACATTAGTCAATAAATACAAAACAGGGACTGTAATGCATATGTGATATTCTCACCAATCAATCTAAGTTTCTCTTCCTGAACTATCAGAAAGTCAAATTTATAAACTGTTTCACCTTTGATTACTTTTGCTTCCTATAGAATGCCTTCAGGCAATGTAAATTTTAAACACTAAGCCCTCAAGTTTTATGAAGGTTTATAAAAGAAATAACTTCAGCTAATAAAATCCATTGAGGATACTATCTACATGATAAATTTCACCTCACAGGGAAAATGTAGCTAATATAAATTGATATGCGTCATTTCATTTATAAAGAGAATTATCACTACCAAGAACTACTCTGCAGTAAGTTTTAAGTGCCACTGTAGTAACCACCTTAATCAAGGCTTTCTGGTTCAAGCATCTTTCCAAATCACTTTATTTTTTAATCTTTGTTTTAATGATGCCATGGTGCCTATGGCTTTTATTATAAGTTACTTCAAATTCTTTTTGGAAAGTGGATTGATTATTAATTATAAAATCTATCCTGGATTCACTCTCTCATAAAATAAATATTTATTTATTTCTAGTTATTGAGGGAACACCTCCAACAAGTGTAGTGTGAAGGTTTTCTAAGTTAAATAATCCAAAAACCTTCTGCTTTAAAACAACAACAACAAAATAAAACTTAGTACAGCATATCCTGCCACGACAGGGTTTCTTTCAGGAAGTTTACATTGTGGTCAAGGATGACGACTGCTCCTTTAGCATCTGGAATAGAACTTTGTGAGCTCCTCTTCCTCTTTTCTACAACATCACCATTACTGATATTTAAGCACTTCCTATGTGCCAGGGACTGTACCAGGAGCTTTGCCTGCAAGCTTATCTAATCCTCACAACAAAGTTGAACCTGATCCTAATAATGTACCTATTTTAGATGAGGAATCTGAAACTTGAAAAAGATTAAATATCTTGCCTTCAATACATGGTTTTAAATAAATGCATAAACTTGTGCAGCTAGATATAGAATTATTAGACTTACCCCTGGCTGAGAGTAGGAGAAACAATGTATGGAAATGTTTCTTCTCTAGATTCTGGGATAAAGGCTCCTCTGCTGCTCTCAGGAACTTGGACTTTCCTGATCTCACTGGAAATCAGAAAAATGGCTTTGCTTTCGCCCTTTTGCAACAGGCAAACGGTTGAACCTAACACATTATATGGCTACCTTTCTTTAATCTGAGCTTTGACTTTTCTATTTACCTGTGGTACTTATGTTTGAAATCTAAATAAAGGCTTAGACAGTGGTAGATCCACTGACCAAAGGATCAGGTAGATACAGTTGACTGTCCCGAGGCCCTTAGGTTCTAAGTGGCAAGGGATCATAGGAAGCATTCACTCAGCTGACAAACTGACCACGCAATGTCCCCCAAATGGGCCTCTCACAGCACTTTTTTCTGTTACCGTATACGGAGAGGTAGCCATTGCTTACTTACCATGAGGCATATTTTTTACTAAAGCCTTGAGGATGATATGTGATAGAGCATTTGACTCATATTTTTGACTATGATGTTCCAAGATTAATTAATAAAATAGTTTACTGATCCAATATGTTTTATATGGAATTTAGCAGCTTGGAAATCAGGAAACCTGGTGTATAATCCTGGTACTTATTCTAGTGATGTCTGATTCCAGATAAGTCATTTAAGTGCTCTGAGCCCCAGCTTCTTAACTGTGCATGAGAGAATTTTGTTAGATTGTTTTGAAGGTCTCTCCCAACTCTGAAAATCAATGAAGTTACCAATCTCTATGATTGACTGTATCAAGCTACTCTTTACAGAGCTAAATTTTTACTTCATGTAATCTTCTCCAATCTGGAAGAAAATAATTCAAAGTCAACAGGCAAAAGAAAGAACGTGCTTTTTTACAGCAGAAGGATAAATTTAAGCATGATATATTCCCACATGTTTCATCCAGTCATTCATGAGAGTTTTCTTTCATTGTTACTCATTTCCCTAATCGACTTTAAATTTGAGCATCTGATACATGAAGATGAGGTCAAAATAATCATTGATGAATTTCCTTTAAAAAATGTAAAAGTTGCTTCCTATTGTATAAGGAATTCCTATTCCTGAATGAGGTCATTTTTTCCTGTTCCTATAGGAATTCCTATTCCTGAATGAGGTCATTTTTTCTGAGTTACCAGATTCTAACACACTGCATTTATTTATCTAAGATTTGTAATTATAGACTTCTTTCTGAACCTATAAATATTTAACCTAATATTTCCTTACAGATGTTTAAGAAAAATAAATCTTTCCTTTCTCTAATTCCTCAATTCAGTGAATCAGCTCTGGGCTGAGAAATTTCATCAGCACTTGCTTCCAAGGCCAGGGAAATCTTTGTTCCTAAAAAAGAAAAAAAAAATCTGAACCTCAATTTACAATGTTTATTACTTTCCCTTCCCCACCAAAAGTAATTTTCTACTATTATTCCTATTTATCATATTATTATCCTTTATTTTAATTCAATTTGCACACAACCATGCTTATTCTAAGTTTTATGTTAACTTTTCTGGAGACATCCCTGCCTGCAGTTTTTTCCTTATTCCAAAAATGGCAATAAGCCAAGCCCCACTTTCTTCTAACTTAATTTTTCCAGACATCGTAATGGCTATGTCAATTTCCTGTCATTGTTCTCCTATAGGATTTCCTTAGTCCCCTCCTGATGCCTTTGGCGGGTACACATTTATACTGAAATTGACAAAGGTAGGGAAAAGTCATCAACACTGTTCAGAGGAGAAGAGACTTATTCATTATGACGTAACTAAGTTGAAAAGCACAGCTAATGGACTATTTTGGTAGCATGACTTGAGATACAGAAGCCTTTCAGTCCCTGGAAACGGTTGCCTCTAAACGGCACTCCCAAGGTCAGGAAGGAAACATGACATCACTGGGGAGCAGCTGCCTCTGAGGTAGTGAAAAGGAGCTTCAAGAAGCTCCTGTGATTAAAGGCACATTAATCATGACCATCCAGTTGGCTAAAAGATAAGAAAAATACAAGGATTTAAGGGCAAATTTAGAAAAACTCCAAGCAAAAAAGAGTTTGAGTTTTGTTTTCACATTCAATGAGCCCTTAACCTTGGCAGAATGTTTCTTAATAAGTGTTATTGTTTTTTCATTCTGTAAAGAAAATAAGTGATATCATTTTCTTCTCACCTGTGAGTTCAAGAGCAGTCCAGTTTCTCCCTACAGAGTCCAGAGTGAAAATTTAGACACTTATTTCACATTTATCTGTGTGGATTTGGACAGGAAAAAGGAGATATTGAACATGAACATTTTGAAACACAACATTTTTAAAAAGTATATCATTACTAAAGAACCTCCACATAGGATTTTAGGAATCCAAAGCACCCAATGTTGAAACATGGTTGAAAACTATTACTTTTCCTAATTGTTAAGAGCTTTATTCAATACCAAAGCAGACAAAGTTTTGCTATCAATCCCATTCCTTATAGCAATCTAGCTCTTTATTTTTGTTTAGAAGCTATGCTGAGCAGCAATATGTTGTCAAATTAATGAATATTATCAACAATAATATGTAAGTTAAATATTATGTTTATGAATATGGTTAACTTTAGACTTGTTTAAAATTGCATCTCTTTAGTGGAATATCTTAGTTTACTATTACTCTGTTGCAAATTAACACAAACTTAGTAGCTTAAAACAACACAAGCTTATTCTCTTACATCCCAGGGATCAGAAATCTAGAATCCAAGTGTCAGCAGGGCTACATTCCTTCTGGAGACTTCAGGGGAGAAGTTATTTTCTTGCCTTCTTTGATCTCTAAAGGCTGTCTTCATTTCTTGGCTCCTGATCCTTGGACTCTGTCCTCACATAACTTGCTACTTTATTTGATCTCCTACCCCTCTCTTATGAAGTTTGTAAGTATATCAGACGCACCGAGATGATTCAGGATAGTATCTCAATCTCAAAATCTTCAATTTAATCCATCTGCAAAGTCCCTTTTGTCATATAAGGTAAGATTTATAAGTATAGGGAATTAGAATGTGAACATCTTTGGAGGACCATTTTCAGCCTAGCACAATATACTTTACAATACTCAACAATATACTCAACAGTATACTTTACAAATGTTAGTGGAAGACAACAGTCAGAAGTCATTAAAAGAAATTTATAAGTAGAAGTCAAACAAAGGTTCTACATGGTAACAACATTCTAAAAGTGGAAATACTAGGAATTAATTATAATGTGACAGAAAAACACTGCAGCAGTGAAACGTGAGTCCATCAACTTGAGAAGGATAAAATGGCAAAGGAATGTTAAATATAATTAATCTGATCTGGGATTAAATTGGAAATTATGGAACTTGCAATTGCAAGCTTTGAGTGAATAAACATAGATTTTGTTTGTTAAAGTTTTAAAGAAAAAATGTCCATCAACAGATCAAGGAATGAACAAATTATGATATATCTATACAATGGAATATTATTCAGCCATAAAAAAGAATGAAATACAAGCTAAAATACAAACAAACCTTGAAAATATTATGCTAAGTCAAAGATGCCAGACACAAAGGGTCAAATTCTGTACGATTTCTTTTATACGAAATGTCGAGAATAGGAAAATTCATAGAGTCAAAAAACATGTTAGTGGTTGCCAGAGGATTGACAGAATCGAGAGTATGGAGGGATTACTTACCCTTTTCTCATTTAGAAAAAAGTGCAGCAGCAATTGCTGACAGCACAGTACTCTAAGGGCAAATGGGAAAAGGGTAATGGATACAGAAATTATTTTAAAAGTTTTGAAACTAGAGCGATGTTACAGTTATATAACATTGTGAATGCACTAAATGCTACTAAATTGTACACTTTAAGATGTATAACTGTACATTATATGAATTCCATCTCAATAGAAAAAGAGTTCTAAAGAAATCTCAACATGACAATGTTCTTAACAGTACTGTGTATATAATCAGTTCAATAGTAGGTTCTAGAAAGATCAGGAGAAGTATAGAAATTAATCTCAAGAAGTGGTTTTTGAGATTAAAACCCTGGATCAGGTAATGAGTGACTTCTGCTCTAATTTCAACTAACCACAAATTAACCATGTGACTCTAGGAAAAATCACAACGTGTCTCTACCCATTTACCCATACATAAAATAAATTGAATAAATCAGATAATTTCTAACATTAAACTTCAAAATTCTATTATTCTTTTGCACCTTCTGTTCACACTCAGCTAGTTTCTTTGGAATACAAAAAGAAAAGAAGAAAATTTCTGTCTCTGAAATTTACATTTCAGTGTAAAAACAAAATATGTTGTTTTCGATTTATTTGAGTATATAACTTATGAACAAATTTGTTTAAGATCATCAATAAATAAAGAGAGAGACAGACAGACACATACAAGCCCTCCTCCACATACACACACAGAGAGAGAGAAAAAGAGAGGGAGAGAAAGAGAGGAAATATGTATACCTACCAATGGTTATATCTAGATGGTGAGATTATAACATTTTTCTTGCTATCTTTACCTTCTAATTGTTTTTTAAAAGAATGTGTATTATTTGTATTGCAGAAAAAATACAAATCTTGTTCAATTTGTCTCCATATTTCAATGTTTGAAGTATGTCTAAACCTGTAGTTATTAGGAATTCACAATAATCTGAATGCACACTAATCTTTTCAGGAACAAAATAAATAATTTAACTTAAAGAAATAGTTCAACAAAAGCAGAAGGTTGTATACATGAAGATATTCATTGCAACATTGTATTTATAGCATTTCCACATTGAAAGTTACCTCAGGATCTCAAAAGAGAAGAGTATTTTAATACCTAATATCTTTAAAGATTATGAAGTTTTAAACATGGAAGAAGGAGTTTGTTTATTCCCGTTGTTCAGCTTTCCTCATTCCCTCAAGTCCCTTTACTCTATCCCAAGCCTTGGTATATTAGATTGGCATGAAAGGGGGCATCCTACTCTGTGTTGTCTACAAAGGGGGCAACATATTAAGCACAACATTTTAACCATGGCTATGCCATATGATTCAGAACACCACGTCTACTTCTGCCCTGCTACATGAGATCAAATACCACCTTCGCTAGAAAACAGGATGTCATTAGTATTCAAAATGTTTTGAACATTTTTACTTGAATCAAGGAACCACTGAAAAGATAAAGTT